GGTTGACGCAAGTTACGTTGGTATAAAGCCGCCCCAATTAGTATATCACTGGTGTGTGTGCATGCATTCTTGGCTCCTTGTGTCAGCGCTGCACATACTCTCCAGGAGTGCTTATATCGATGCATGGTGCAGTGCCCATGGGTAGGTGTCCCAGTGTACAATGTGCTAGCATCCAGCTCACTGTCTTTTGAGAAGTTTTGACAATGCATGGTGGGGCAGAAACAAGTTACGCAGGGATGACTGGGAGCAAAGGGTCAACTTCCCATAGTGCAACTGTCTCCATCCCACAATGTCATCTATATTCCATAATTTTAATGCCTTTTTAAAAAATCCCATGAACTCCCGGCCCTCCTCACTGTCTATCATCTATAACAGACACATGAAGCCTGCACAGCTCTACATTATTGTCATAAGCATTGCAAGCACGATCCTCCAGTAAATTTGCAGAGTCATAAGAAGAAACAAATCAGTGGGGACTATGACAATTTCTTTGAGGACTGATATCTGTGAGACATAGCACGAACCAATTTAAGGTTGCTGGTTGCGTTCACAGAGCACCTGCAGATGGTGGAGTGTCGCTTCTGGGCCTGAGATACGAGCACTAACTGGTGGGATTGCATTGTAATGCAGGCTTGAAATGACAAGCAGTGGCTGCAGAACTTTTGGATGCACATGGCCACATTCCTGGATCTGTGTGGCAAGCCTCGCCCTACCCTTCCATTGCAGTGAGAGCAAATGGTGATTGCACTGTGGAAGGCCAAATTGCTAGTGGTCAGCAGGAAGTCATTTTGGAATTGGAAAATCCACTGTGGTGGCCACTGTAATGCAAGTGTGCACAGGGCCGGTTCTTCCACTAGGCGACCCTAGGTGGTCGCCTAGGGAGGCAGGATTTGGGGGGCGGCATTTTGCCGCCCTTGGCGGAAATTCGGTGGCGGGGGGTCTTTCCGCTCCGGGTCTTCGGCGGAAATTCGGCGGCGGGTCCTTCACTCACTCCGGGACCCGCCGCTGAAGTGCCCCGAAGACGCGGAGTGGAAGGACCCCCGCCGCCAAATGCTCAGAAGAGGAGCACTGCCGCCTAGGGCGGCAAAAACCCTGGCACCGCTCCTGAGTGTGCAGGGCCACAAATATGTCTCCTGTTACACAGGACTGTGACTCTCAGCAATGTGTAAGACATATAGAGGATGGATCTGCAGCAATGGGATTCCCAAATTCACTAGTTCTATCCTCTCCCCACAAAAACTAACCAGTTCCCCTCCCTCAGATTCATCAATCTCTTCCTTCCATTTTCGCCACTCATTATTACTTGCATTATAGTAATGCCTAGGGTCTCCAAGAACAGAACAGGGCCCCACTGTGCTAGGCACAGGGAACAAAAAAAACAATCCCAGCCTGAGAGAGTTTACAGGCTAGGTTTATGACAGGATGCAAGAGCAGGATGAAACAGGGAGATAATGGTCAAGGGAGCACCTGAGGGGACAAAAACAGTAAAACAAGCAAGTTTTTGCATAATAAGTAAGTTTCTTCTCCTAACCACCTAGCCTTTGGCATAACCTACTTTTGAAGACAGGGATAGCCTATGCTACCATATTTCTGCATCTGCCATTAGATCAGAGTGGCATACATTTGTTTACATCTTTTCACAAACACTGGGCTTTTGAAATGTAAATGAAACTGTAAAAAATCCTTTTACATTCATTCTCAGGACTGCTGGAGACTCTATTAGGTATAAATGATGACAATGTTAGCATTTTAATGTTTGCTGTATGACATAAGCAACACTTCTGGCAAAGCAGAGTGATTTCAGAAAACAACACTGCAGTTTTGGAAGAGGAATTCTTCCATGTTACTCCCATCCTTTGGAAGTCTGAATTTAACATAACAAAGAGCCTGCTGGGCTGAGCTACTGGATCTCAATGTCCCATTAGCTCAATGACTGAGTAGCCCCTTTGTATTGATTGGTGACTTTTTGTAGGCTAGAAATTACTGCCATTCTGCTCTACTAGGCCCTGGATACCCTATAGAAATGAACTGTGGCTAACTGAACTGATGGGATATCTCTGTTCTAAGCACTAATGGTATAGTGTATCCACACTAACCATGCTGTTTTGAGATAAAACCCGTGACAGTTTTGGCCACATCTGCACAAGTGCTGTTCTACAGCTTTGCCATTGCTCTACTCCCTGGGTATCTCTCACAATTCCTATCACAGGCTTCTGGAACTTATTTTTGTGCTGCTTTCACTGGGGAGTAATAGCTTGCCCTGCTACTGTTGCTTAATTGAGTAAGATAGTAAGTTCCTGATTTTGGGGAAGGGATTCTCAGTTTTCTAGGAGTCTCTCATCTGTTGTCACAATTCTGGAGACTTGCAATAAAATAGGAAGGAAGAGCAGAGACCTAATTCTCCTTACTGTCCCCTCCTGCATCCCTCTGAGATGAAAAATATTTCTGAATCATTCATAGCCTTTGAAAACCTTTGGGGGCCAGTATTATTTTGTCCCCAGTACACATACCAGAGTATACAGAACAATTTTGAAATGCAAAACTGAGATCTTACCTCTGACATGAAATTGAAATCATTGCACAGGTGCAGGTTTTGAAGTTAAGGTGTTAGTAACTCAGCAGCAAGACAAATCTCATTATTTTGTAGAATACTGGGAACAGACATATTCAGCCCTGGGAGCTCCTAGATGGTTGCCTCTCTTTCAAAGCATGATGGCCTCAGGAAACAGTATGCAGGCCTTTAAAAATATGACCCAACAAAATGTTTAGAGACAGCTTAGGCATTAATATTAATGTTGGGTAGTTCTGGAAAACCCCCAAATCGACTTGGTTTTGTTTTTAGCCACAAATCATACAGCTATGAGTCCATCTGCTGTTTCTCCCTGACAGAGACTGACAAAGATCCAGGGATGATGGAGAATAAACACTGCAATTCAATATGCTACTCTGTAGTACTAACCTCCCCACAAACACATATTCTATTCCAACCACACATCCCTTCAAACAGTAGATTACCTAAGAACATGGTAGATTGTATAATACTGAGCTATTCAACTATTTTATATTTTAAAATTTCATTTAACTCAGGAGCTACATTTCTAAGGCATTTTCTGTCTCTAGAAATGTATGTACACATAAGCCCTTTACAAACTATATGAGGCTGATGCTGCAAGTATTAGGACCTAATTCACTGTTGCCCTGCAGCTTGTACAGTCAGTTACACCAGTGCAAAGTGAGCGTAAAGCATTATCAAATCAGAATGGTGTTTTATGCCTTCCTTGCATTTGTGCAAGTCACTACACATGATGGATAGCACTGGGTTGGTGAATCAGGCCCCTGGTCCTTGGGACTACAATGGGACTATGTATGTGGTAGTACTAGTATGCATTATGTTTGGCATTTGCAGGATCAGGTTCTGTTTACATACAGATCTCTCCAGCCCCTTCTGCTGTGATGGGAGGCTTCAAACCCAGCTCTTGGTTTATAACAGGGGTCGGCAACCTTTCAGAAGTGGTGTGCTGAGTCTTCATTTATTCATTCTAATTTAAGGTTTTGCGTGCCAGTAATACATTTTAACGTTTTTAGAAGGTCTCTTTCTATAAGTCTATAATATGTAACTATTGTTGTATGTAAAGTAAATAAGGTTTTTAAAATATTTAAGAAGCTTCATTTAAAATTAAATTAAAATGCAGAGCCCCCCTGGACCAGTGGCCAGGGCCTGGGCAGTGTGAGTGCCACTGAAAATCAGCTCGCATGCCGCCTTCGGCACGCATGCCATAGGTTGCCTACCCCGGTTTATAAGGTTTTATAAGAAAGATTATTATTATTACTTGCATTACTGTACTGCTATAACTGCATGACATTCAATTTTCCCAGTGTGGAAAGATTAAAGGCAGTGTACACAACTAGGCTTTGAAACTGCGGAGGGATTTGCTCCGGTATCCTTTGCCAAAATTTCACTACTTCCTCACCGTCATTGCTTTATGTTAGTTGCCTGCCTAATTACTGCCTTCCAACAGAGAGGTGGCTACATTTCAGTGATGCTATAAACCTCTTTAGAATCCTTCAGAAAGGATAACTATGTATTTAAAAAAAACCTCAAAACATTAGAGATTCAGGTCATTACTCTTCCACAAATTTCACTCTCTGCCAATAGTTTATCCCCTATAATTGCATTGGTGGGGATTAAGGCCTACAAATTACATTCATGCTAAGCATCTCTGGTCTAGCTCTTCCCCTTGTTTTCTGTCTTTCTTTCACAGATCTTCTCCTTCTGCCCTTTAGCTGTCCATCTATCTCCTCTACTTCATCCTTCCACATCCATGTCAACTTTCCAAAATATATAATGGTGGCCGATTTATAGCATCCCAAGGGGTTTGAATCTGGGGAGGAATGACCAAAACTGGGAAAATTTTCATAGTTTTGGGAAGAAAAGGCTAGTGTTGATTCAAAGTACCATATGAGCCAAACTGTAAAACATACAAGTGTCATTTGCTTTTTTCTCCCTTCTCTCCCTATTCTCCACTTCTCCTTTGATACCCTGAGTCTTTTCTTCAATCTCTTTTAGTGTCTAATTTTATCCCTTTTAGAAAATGTTATAGTTCACTCCCCTCTTCCCCTTAAAATCCTCTTTCTTCCAGACAATTTTCTTTCTGATTTGGCCACCCTTTATTGACTTTCAATATTTTTCCCTTCTCTTTTCCCATTTCTCTCCATCTTTGGTCCCTTTTGCAATGGGTCCTGCTCACTCCCCCAATGTGGGTGTCTTGAAACTAGAGATGGTGAGATCATTATATTATTTGTGCTGAAGCAACACCTGAGTCAGTATCAGGACACCAAGGTGCTAGGTGCTGTATGGACAGGAAGAGACAGTCTCTGTCCCAATAAGCTCCTAGTCTTGAATATGAGGATACTACCCTCTCATTGCAAGTGAGTTAACCTCCCACCTCTGTGCCCTTGCCCCCCCCCGACTCAAACAGGAACCTCCCCTTACACTGAACCTCAGGCCTAAGGCGCCCCATCTCAGTTTGATGGATGTAACTCTGCACCAATTAACAGCCTCTCAGAGGGCTGAAGGGGGAGGAGAGTCTTCTCTGCGCCAATAGGAAGGCACAACTGCCTCCTGAGTAGGCCCCTTTGATCTTTAGAGGTATTAAACTCAGCCCCTTCTTCCTCTTCCCGACCCCTGAATGAATGAAGTCTCTAGTGGCCAATGAGAAGTTTCCGTTCGGCTTGATGGACTTTCCCAATCTCCAATAGGAGCTTAGAATCGTGCCGTAGTCTCCAATGAGATGTCAATGATGAGCGCAATGGGCGGGCTCTGCCTCCCAGGCGGGCGGAGAAGGCCGCGGTTATCGATCCCGCTGCTGGAGGGAGGCGGCGGCGAAGCAGCAGAGAAAATGGCGGCCATGGCTGCGGAGGCGGCGGCGACTGCAGCGGTGCCGGGCGACGGGGGAGCCGGCGAAGCCGAGCCCGAGATGGAGCCCATCCCGGGCAGCGAGGCCGGCGCAGACCCCCTCCCCGCTGTCAGCGAGGCCGTGGAGTCGGCCGTGCCTGATGGGGACGAGGCCGACGAGGGAAAGCCCGCTCCGGGGGAGGCCGAGGAGCCGCCGCCGCCGCCCGTAGAGCTTGCCCGGAGCCCGGCTAGGACCCAGGAGCCGGAACCTGAGAGGACGGAGCCGGAGGAACCGGAGCTGGGTTTGCCCCAGTCCGAGCCTAGAGAAGCGCCCAGCCCGGAGCCCGAGGAGGCGCCGCAGCCCTGCCCACAGCCTGCTGGGCACCCTGAACTTCCCGAGGAGGAGCCGCAGCCCTGCCCGCCGGCTGCTGGGGGCCCCGTGGAGCCGGAGCCCGGGGAGGAGCCGTGCCGGCCGGAGGAGGAGGAGCCGGATGCTGCTGATGCTGCCGCTGTAAAGCCGGAGCCCCCGGCTGCCGGCTCCCCGGTGGCCCCGGCCGGGGGGGAGGCGGAGGCTCCGCTGCTGCCTGGCTCGGAGGTGCGGGTCACCCTGGACCACATCATCGAGGACGCGCTGGTGGTGTCGTTTCGGCTGGGGGAGAAGCTCTTCTCCGGGGTCCTCATGGACCTCTCCAAAAGGTGAGATGCCGCTGGAGAACAGCTCCTCCCGGCCGGGGGAGATCAGCGCTTTAGGGGGATCCCCGGGCCTGACCCCGAGGCCCTCAGGGACTTCCGCAAAGGGTGAGAGCGGGCCCGGGCTCCGCAGCTTTCCGTTAGCCGCCTCCTTCCCTCCCCTCCCCGTTGAGAGATGGAGTGTAGGGGACTCGGGCTCTGTACAGAAGTAGTCCTTGGCCCTCCATCCTTCCTGGTGATGGAGGCGGGGTGCTTGGAGCCGATTTACCCCTTCAGCTCTATCCCGTTGTGTGAGGGAGGAGGAACTGCCCCGTGTTAATTACTCCCTATCTAAAGAACCCGGCCCTTATCGCAGGCTAAGCCCCAGGCCGTGCCATGATGGGTAGGAACGGTGCCCCCGCAGCCTCGTTGCATTGAGACAATGCCTAACAGCACCTTCTCCGATCGCCAGTTCTGATGCGATGTAGCCGCTGCCACGCACGCTCTCTGGTCCTCTGGCCTACTACTGGGTTAAAGGTAAGGGAGAGGCCCTTTCCTTTTAAGTAATAAAAATAGGATAAAAGCTGGTCACTGACCAACAAACCTCCCACCCCCCGTTTTGTGCTGCTGTTTTAAATAAGAGTTGTTGCCTTGTGGGAATTAGAAAATATGAGAGAGGCAGGAAGAGCACATGGTCATTTCCCTCTAACTCAGTTAGGATTCATCTTGGGCCTTCCTAATCCCACCATCCTGGTAACAGTCATGAGCTTGAACGCAGAGCATTGGCCTGAGCCTCCCCAAATCATAGGGGTCTTCAGATCCAGAGTTCTGTTTTGGGTGCTCATCTCTAACTTTCAGCTTGCATTGACCAAGTCACATCATATTATCCTTTAAAAGCCCACTGACACCTTTTGGATTACAGCAATCTTCAAATTGAAAGGTTCTTGGCGCCCTGAAGGGTTTACTAGTATAATTCTCCTTGTGTATGGGGAGGGGCTTTCTCTTCAAGGAACCAATATCCACCTAGTAAATCTGGGCCTGAAGAGACAGTTTTGTTAGTTCAAGCCCAACATTTTGGGGAAACTTGCACAACTTGATGGGAGTAAAAATTGCCCAGAAAATTCTAAGGAAAGTATTTAAGGATATAAATATCTCTTCCCCTCCCTCCCCTTTCTTCGGTGTTTGTAGTCTAATACTTCAGCATTAAGCAAGTACAGAACAAAGTGACATTGACAAGGCTATTTTCATTGCCTGTTCTAAGTGAAGTGCAAAAAGAAAAAACAAAAATCTTGGAAAACGGAATTTGCAAATGTTCTTAAACTCCACTAATCCAAGATAGTGGTTGTGACATAGAGAACCTGTATGAATTTTAAGGAATTATTTACCTTTGTAGTCTCTCTGCTCTTAGTGCTTCCTTTAGAAATGGGACCAATGGCTTTGAGCATTTTTGCTTTGGGGTCAGCTTGTTTTTTGGGGCAGATGTTTAGAGAGGTGTATGGCCTTTTCTAAGTTCAATGAAGATGATTTAAGATGTTAGAAACATCTTAAAAATCATGGAAGCTAATTCCACAACTCAGAATTTAACCATCTATAGTTTGAAAAGTCTAAAGGCACTTTCACATTTTATTAAATTGATTTGAGACTGATCTTTAATTGTGTACATTTTTAGCATGAAATACTGAAAAGCCCCAAACCAGTGACGGGCACATTCAGTTACCCATCTAGTTAACTTATTTTTTAATTCTATTCTTTTGTAGATCTGAAATCCAGACCCTCAGAGTTGCTGGCTCTCACTCTGTTCAGTCACTTGCACTATGTGGGTGTCAAATCACTTGCCATTAAATGACTCTGGATCCTGTATGTATGAGTAAGGAAAATTCTGATTTCTTTCCCCTCCTGAAAAAACAAACAAACAAAAATTACCTGCATCTTATTAAACAGTTACATTTGACCCAGTGTATTCTCTCAGATGTAAATGCCTGTGGTTTCTGGGTACAAAAATTGTCTCACCTCTGAGGGTCCTCCAACATGTGGATTTCCAATATCCCTTTGAGGCACAGGGCCATCTGCATAGAAGCACTATGGCTCCACACAGATGAGGAGGGGCTCCTTGATTCCTTGGTACTGTGGCTTCAGTGGATCCATGCTTCCAAGATTGCCCCAAACCATTTGTTAAAGGTAGGGGGAAGCATTCCTCATCACAGGGCTTTGTGGAAAAGGTAGTACAGCTAAGGGTTGTATTACCTTTTCTTATGGGCTGATGAGGGAATGATGCATCTTCTGTGTCTGTCCCTCTGTCCATGTGCATCCTGGACTTCATGGATGGTCCCTCTTCACGTGGATGTGGAAGATACAGTTTGGACTCTGATTTAAAAAAAAAAAAAAAAGTTTAGGAGCGGGCCTAGGGTGAGAATTGGACTTCCTTACATACAGGCTCTGCAGTGTTTTGCTAGTGATACCAGTGTATGTGAACTGGCAAGTGAGATCTGGACTCAAATCCCCAAAAGAAGAATAAAGTAGTAAGTTAACTTTAGAAATGTACTAGGCACGTTTTAACTATAGAAAATTCAGCACTTAAGTGTTAAACACATTTTTTTTAAGATAAACTCAACTTCTGTGCTATTTTTGTTTTGCTGCATTATCTTATCTAGATTTTTATGCTTTGATGGCCTGTTACTGCCTTAGGATAGTGCTGTCAATATCAGAAAACTATGATGGTCTCTTCATTTGTCTTTATGAGATGTATAATTCCTGTAGCAGGTCTTGTTTAAAAACATCAATAGTACACCGCTACCTCGATATAACGCGACCCAATATAACACGAATTTGGATATAACGCGGTAAAGCAGTGCTGCGGGGGGAGCTGCGCACTCCGGTGGATCAAAGCAAGTTCAATATAACGTGGTTTCACCTATAATGTGGTAAGATTTTTTTGGCTCCTGAGGACAGCGTTATATCGAGGTATAGGTGTATACAAGTTTTGACTAACCGTAACTCTCTTTTGGGAGTGTCTGTTTACTGAATGTTGCAGCTTTTTATAGGAATAATTACACTGGGGAAAAACCAAACCAAAAGCCCCACAAGTTCTAACATGGGTTCACTTGAAAGGGTGGGAATCCTAATATAGAAAAAAATATGGCCATTGGAACTTTGCTCCCACCAGTTCATCTGAATTTGTGGAAATTTTTCTAAACTTCTCCAGTGCAGACATGGCCACTGCCTCCAAATCTGCTTCTTCTAGAAATCTTAAACTTATCGGTTCCTATGCAAGTCAAGTAAATTTTTGGTAAGGATAAAGAAATCTAACCTAGTCCACTCTTTGTTTGTTTTTTTAAATGGTTACCAACACCTTCGGTTATAGGTTCTAACTCACCCTACCCACAGTGAACTATGGGTGGAGGAAATCACCTTATGCTCTGAAGAATGAGGATTAATAGCACTTGTATTCTAGCAAATGGAAATGAGACTGCTGTTTGCCTCATTATTGTATGGCAATGACTTTGAAGGTTAACTTGTGTGTAAAAAATATATGCATTTCATGCAGGCAAGTTTATTGCCCCTCTGAATTTTACTGCTGTCACCCCTATATTGTGGGATGTAAGCACAGCCAAAATGCCTTCAACCAATTCTGTTGCTTTTCTCTGAACCTCTACTACTATTTCTGCTGCTGAAATGAAATGCTAGCCTTTGTATTTATTCCAGCAGAGTTTTAAATGAGGTCAACAGTGTATATATAAAGGAACATTGTCAATTACATTTTTAATTGACAAATATCAACATTTTTTCTGTTGGAGTACCCCCTTTAAAAATAATGTCCTATTTAAGTATTTATGGCCCTCATCACTGTAGTGCAAGTGCCCTAATCACTAATGAATTTTATCCACACAATATCCCTGTGAGATAAGGATGTATTATACCCACTTTTACAAATGGGGATCTGAGGCACAAAGAAATTTAGCAGCTTCCCCATGGTCACATAGGAGGTCAGATGTTGATCTGGGAATTCAACCTGGGTCTTCTGGGTCCCAGTCCAATTCCCTAGATCAGTGTTTCCCAAACTTGGGGCGCTGCTTGTTTAGGGAAAGCCCCAGGCGGGCCGAGCCGGTTTGTTTACCTGCCGCGTCCGCAGGTCTGGCCGATCGCGGCTCCCACTGGCCGCGGTTCGCTGCTCCAGGCCAATGGGGGCTGCAGGAAGGGCGGCCAGTACATCCCTCAGCCTGCGCTTCTTCCAGCAGCTCCCATTGGCCTGGAGCAGCGAACCGTGGCCAGTGGGAGCCGCGATTGGCCGGACCTGCGGATGCGGCAGGTAAACAAACCGGCCCGCCTGCCAGGGGCTTTCCCTACACAAGCGGCGGCCCAAGTTTGGGAAACACTGCCCTAGATAATTCCAATTAAACATTCTTCATACCCAGGACCTAGTTCTTATATTTTTATTAAAGGGAGTTTTTGTACCTAAGCTGAAGTTCTAAAATGTCTTTTGGGAAATTCAAGAACAAGCATCACTGAGCCCACTCTCCTCCTGCTTACACTCCCACACGCCTGCCTGCTGCTGATTTTAATTCTAGTAGTGCTGCTGCTATTACCTTTACGCTCCTCTTGCATCGTCTCAGGAAGGTAATGCTTGAGAGCTCCTTCCTAGTGCATAAGTGGTGGTATCATCTTAATGCATGAGATGGGAAGTGCAGCTGACTATCAAAACAGAAGTTGATCATGCACATGGTGAACTTGGATAGAGATATTTTCTCTAACATTTTAATTATAGTAATATCCGTTGCCATCTGCAAAAATTGTTAGACACAATCTCCTTTTAAATTAATGTGTTTCTATGTATGCACTGTATTCTGAGGGTTTTATGACACTGCATGCAGCTATATTGGTTTCTGATACATTAATGCCACCTGCTGGCTCAGAATTGCTGCAAGGCTCACTCTGCACCTGGAGGAAGCAGACATTAGGAAGTATAGCACTTCTAAATCTTAAGAGGTGGTGTGAGAGTGCTTTTCATCCTGTTGGAATGCTATTCCAGG